TACCTGCAGAAAGGACCACTTAACAGCTTCACTTGCCTATTTTACCATCTTCCATTTCACTGGGAGCAGAGGCCCAGCCTGATGGCCCACACCCATAGTAATGTTCAGTTACTTGGGGAGAGTGGAAAAGGCAACAGCAGAAAGACCAGAAGTTCGAGTTCTGCCTGATCTATGGATACCTGTTTCAAAAAAATCAGAATTAAATAAAATAGGAGCTGAGGTCAGGGCCAACTAAATGGTACTTATAACTAATGTATTTTAAGGTAGGAATACCACAATTCAAAGAAATAGTAAATAGTGTCACCACAAATTTATTGAGAAAATTCTCATACTTGGGAATATCACATATTTACCCAGATAGATTCATCTGCAAGGAAAACTGAGGCTTTCCATTTTGGAATGTGTAGTAAAAAATCTATGAATATGCTCAATGGTATACTTTAGCTTCAGAGGAATAGAAAGTGGAATTTTTAAGAGTGGCAATAATAAATTTGTCTTAGAATGATTTATCAGGTTCACCAATTTTCCATCTATATTATCTTACACTAGGAATATTTATGAGTAGCACCTGTGGGTCATACCTGTGATCCCAGCACTCAGGTGACTGAGTAGAGAAATCGTGAGGTTGAGGCCAGCCTAGGTAGCCTAAAAACCAAAGTTAACAAATAAAAGAGCATACTGATAAGAATAGAAGAAGGTCTGTATTGTTTTGCTTAGAATTAACAATTCTGTGACCTTTTTAGAGATCAAATTTATTTTTAGTTCTCTCTCTCTCTCTCTCTCTCTCTCTCTCTCTCTCTCTCTCTCTCTCTCTCTTTTTTCATTCCCTCTAGGTGTGTGTGTGTGTGTGTGTGTGTGTGTGTGTGTGTGTGTGTGTCTGACCCATGCACACTCATGAACTTTGTATTTGCCCACACTCACCTGTTTTATGTATGGAGGCCAGAGGTTGATGTCAGATGTTTTCTATTGATACCCACCTTATTTTTAAGACAGGATCTCTCCCTGAATCTGGAGCTCACCCAATGGGCTAGTCTGGCTGGCCAGCAAGTCCCTGGGATCTGCTTGTCTGCCCACAGCACTGGGGTTGCAGACGTAGGCTACTTCTACATGGTTACTGGGAATCTAAACTCAGGTCCTTTGTGTTCTGACCAAGCATTTTACCCTTCATGGTCTCCTCAATCCTAAAATACCTGATTTTAAAATTAAATCAGATTATTTATCTGCTTTAGATAAAATTGTTATATCACTCTCTCTCCACTGGATGTCATCTTTTCCAACATATTCATATACCACAGCCTAATTGCAAGTGTGAGCTACAAAACAGTGCAGTGCAGACAGCTTACTACAAGTCACGTTCAGACAACTTCTTATTCACCTATCATTCAATACTTATTCAGCTCTTGCTGCCAGGCTCTGTTTTAGGCACCAAGGTTATCACAATAGTAATAAAATGAAGTTGCAGCGCCCACAACAAAGGCTGATATTCAAAATATATGGAGCCAGAAATGTTTTGGATTTTGGACTTATTCAGACTTTGGAATACTTGCATAATTAATTTTTCATGCATCTATATAAAATTTATATGTTGACGTGTGTGTGCACATATGCATGCATACATATATACCCAAGAGTTACATGTGTCTTACACGCACTTTTTGAAGTAACATTATAAATATTGCTTTATCTTCTTCCCCTGTGGCATCCTGTTGGTTTTAGATTTTCACATTAGTTATTCTTAATCTAGATTTACACTCTGAGTGTGTTTGGGAGGTAAACAAGGAGTTGAGTAGAGTATGACAGGTAGTGAGAGTAGTGGAAAGGAGGGCTGGGGAGATGGCTCAGTCAGAAATGTGTCAGCCATGTTACCTGAGTTAGGTAGGATGCCTGTAATTCTGTGCTAGGAAGGCCAAGGCAGAAAGATGCCTGGAGCTTGCTTGTCACCTAGCTGAATTGGTGAGCCTTGGTTTCAATGACAATCTCTATCTTACAATCACAAGAAGAGGAGAGATTGAGGAGGACACTGGACATTAACCTCTGGATTCCACATGTGGGGGTGCATGAGTGTGTACACACACACACACACATATACGGGGTGGGGTGGTGGGAGGTATACAACAGGAAAAACAATAGTGGGCAGGAGGAGATGCTGTACATGGAGCCCCTTACTGACAAGACTAGAGAGGACCTTTTGTCATCCATGTGGGAGGAGTGTTGGCTCACAAAGACCATTCTGAAACTCTAAGGCACATATGCTGTTGAGCATTGGTTAGTGATACTGAAGAAGAATGTGGGGGAGGGGCCGGTGTTGGAGTGGCTGAGGTCAGAGGTTGAGAGGATTCACAGCCAGCACTTCTCTCCAGTCTGCAGTGAGAGGGGAACTATGGGAACTGCTTTGTTTTCAGAGCCTCATTTTGGTCAAACAGGTACAGAAAGAAGCAGGGAGAGCAATTGGAGATTACTACAGACATCCAGGTGACTGATGATGACCAGAATTAGCATGAAAGTTAGAGAGATAGGGAGGAGAGAGTGAGTGAGTGTTGTTAAATAAAAATGGTGTTTTCATCATGGACTTTGCTGTAATTTCCTTTGATTTAGGCCAATACTCAGTTATATATCTATATCTATGCAATACTCATTATATTACGTGATGTATTTTCACAGTATATATTGCAAAGGTTTCTAAAAAGGCATTTAGAAGTTTCCAGTCTTTGTCGTATTTTAAAAAGACAGTGCCCCAGTAAAACACCAGATGGCAGTAGAAAATAAGTTATGTCTATACTACCAAAAATCACATTTGTAATGCAGCTTAAAGAAAAGGCTGAGATAGCTGAGTTGTAGCCAGGAAATCAGCTTGGTGCAACTGGCATTTATATAGAGGGTTCTTACTTCTCTATGATTGTAATCAAAGTAAAAATAGAGCAAACATGGGTAATAACCGAGCTTCTGCTTCTGTGGTTGTGTGTGTGTGTGTGTGTGTGTGTGTGTGTGAGAGAGAGAGAGGAGAGAGAGAGAGAGAGAGAGAGAGAGAGAATATGCATGTTTGAGGGTGTAGGTGCATGTTTGTGTGTTCTGTGGGGATTTTTTTGTGTGTGTGAGTATGGATGCATGTTTGTGGGTGTAGGTGCATATATTTATGTATGTTGTGTGTGCCCTTCGTGTTTGTGGGTGTGGGTGGATGCATGTTTGTGTGTTTGTATGTGTGTGTGTGTGTGTGTGTGTATGTGTGTGTGTTTGGGATGCATGTTTGGGTGAGAGGTTTCAGGTGTATATGCATATGTTACATGTAGCTAGACTTTGGGATAATATCTCACTAGTTGCTCAGATTTAGATTTTTGCTGTTTTGTTTTCTCTTTTTGCTTTATATTGCACAGTTTCTGCATAGTATATTAAGTTCACTGTTTTTTTTTTTTTAATCTGCTGTTTGGCCCACTAATAAAAAATTATTTTAGGTTATTTTCTTTTCATTTCTGGACTTCCAGTTGCTTTTTAAAATAGGTTTTTATTTCAGTATTGAGATACCATATCTGTTCATTAGTTAGCACCTTACTTTTCTTTGACTCTTTTGTTTTGCTTTTTAATTTAATTAACTGATTAATTTTTGCAGCTGGATTACTGTTCTCCCTCCTCCTTCTCCTCCCAGCCTCCCCCCTCTGTGACTCTTTATAGTTGTTCATAATCACTGACTTGATCTGCTTTTCTAGTAGACCACTGTCTTAGAGTAGTAGGAAGCTATTGATATTGGGTAGATTTTTTCTTTCATATTGTGAGTCAGGAGAATCCTGTTTTCTTTGCATCTATACTAACTTTTGGTTAAAAACTAGATTGTATTTCCAGTGTTTGGCAATTCTGAAATTGATTTGTTCTTTCTGAGAGTTGTTGTGCAGTAAAGAACTAATTCGATCTCAAACTGAAGAAACAACAGCTGTCTCCTCTACAGTGTTAAGTCACTAGTGTCTTGGATATGTAGGTTTTCTGCAGAACTTATTGATCTGCCAGAGATTTGGGCAGAATTCATACTCAGGACTTGTTTCCCTTGTTTGTGGTCTTCACCATCTGGCATCCTAGCTGTTTTGCCAGCTCTAAGTTCTACACCTGAGGACAATTCTATATCCCTGTGTTCTCCCACTGTGTGTGACTGGGAAGTGTAACTGGGTTATTTCAGCAAAAGCAGCTCTAATCCAGGGTGCATCCCCATAGTAATTGGTCTCCAGGAAGGATGACTTTTTGCATTCATCCTGTATGCAGCAATCTCCATAGAAGAGGCCTGGTCACTATGTGGTACTTAGTGTTATAGAATCTAGAAACCCTAAGAGATGGGCCCCTAGGCCCTCTGACTGTGGGAGGTATCATTCCTGGCTGGAATCCTGGACTAGTGGAGAAAGGGAGCTGAGCATCGTGTACATTCATCATTCTACTGCACCACGATGGAGATGACGTGACTAGCTGCTCCCAGCCCTGCTGCCTCAACTTCCCTGCTGTGATGTGCCCGGAACTGCAAACTAGGACAAACCCTTTCTCCCTTAGCTGCTTTTGTCAGAGTATTTTATCACAGCAAAAGAGGAAGAAACTAAGACACCATATAACCAATAGGACATTACAAAAATGACAGAGTATGGCTTCCAAGATGGGGGTGATAGGTGAAATGCCACAGTGCTTAACTTTCCTTTCTTTGGTTCACTCACTTTGGGACAGCCAGTTGTCATTTTATATGCAAGAAGTTTGTTTCATGTAGCCAGAAACATGCCGGAGGCAACTAGTGATTATTAGTATCACAAGGTTCAATATGTGATTCTCAATGCTTTCTGAGGCTGCCATAAAGGTGGACAGAATCACACAGTCAGGTGCTCACTCTGTCTTCTGTTCTGAAAAATAAGGCAGAGGATTTCCACTATTGCCATGCATGGCTGGAGAGCACTCCTCACAGGAGCCAAGCAATCTTCTAAGGAACAGCACCTTCCAGTTGCTGCCTGCCCTTGGTCATTCCACATTGCCTTCAAAAAGCTTTTCAAATGTCTTGATGGCACTTCATCAATTTAATGAAGGGCTTACACTAATACACTGGGCATTAAGCAGGCTGACCATCTCAAGTTTGAACTTCCTTGACCGAATTACTTATCTCTGTCTTTTAACTCAGTTTTCCTGAACTGTTGGGATGCTTTTCCTTTTTCTTGTTGATTTTAGTGATTTTGGTAACAGCCCCTCATTGGCTTTTAATATTGTGCAGTTTCTTTCCCTGTTTCTTTGCGTGTGAGCTTCTTGTACAATGCCAGATACAGTGGATAAGTTCAATACACAGATAGATGGCACAAGAAAGAATTACATTGCCTGTTGTACTAGAGAACTTGGAGCAGGCTTAACAATATCTCCTGGCCTTCACATACTTATCTACTCCACAGTAACAGAGTATATATAAAGACACTAACAGGCTTGATAAATGAACAAGTTTGGGAGATAGAAAGTGAGAAGTATGGTACTTTCCTGTATTACCTATGGAGACCAGAACTGTATACTTGGCTGTGAAGACACTAGTTATGAAGGGGTAATCACTCTATCTATGTAGATCCTTCATCTGATATGAATGAGCTTAGTCTTGGATGTAGGTACTGTGTAGTCAGTATAGTTAGGTTTGGGTAGTTTAGCTGCTCCTGAGATGTGTTAACTCACTGTTGTTAGCAGTCCCAAACCACGAGTATTCCTCCGTATTAGTACCAACATCCCACCTATGTCTAATAGTGTCAGCTAGTGCTTCAGTTTAGGCCAGACCACTCTGCCTTAGTGAGCTCCCATATTATAGAGGGGCAATGTAGAAATAGCATGTTTAAGCCGACTCAGTCAAAAAGCTTTGAGAAATAATTTTGTTCCCACCCTGCAGCTGTGAGAAGAGGTTATGAGATAACTGCCATTAAAGATTTATTATCGTCATTACACTCGACAGCTACAGTAGTGTTAGTGGTTCCTAAAATACATCAGCAGTTATTGTCTGATTACTTCTACAGATAAGTTAATTATAGGAGATTTCTGACTCTTATATAACTCTGATTTAGAGAGAAGTTTAATTACAGCAATTTTCGTGATTTAAATAAGCTCAGCATATATTTCCAATCTCAGCAAGTATAGTAGAGGTTTTCAGCTGTGTTGAAATACACATTTGCTTTGTTTTTATTTTCCATTGCAGGATTTTAGCTATACTGTAGGACACGTGATAATCCAGGACACCTGTTTTCACCAGAGTGCAGCTCCAGTCAAACACTGCAGGAACATAATAGCAACTTCTTCCTTGTCATTAAAATCCCATTCTAATGCTTCCTATTGAGCTCTCCACATTTGCCAACACTAATTTGTGTAATGATTGTGACAATGTGAGCGGGAAGGGAAAACAGGCTTCTTAAGGGGAGAAAAAAATAAAATGTTAGAGTTTTTTTTAAATGTTCTGTTAGGATCTTGATTTTTTTTTTTTTCTATATGGATGAGAATTGTGGCACTATCTTTAAATCAAGTAATTGACATGACCTTTTCTATCAGCACACTTAGTAACTAAAGATTTGCATGTTATATATGCCCTGACTAACTTAAAATTAAATTTTCAAGAAAATGTGCTATAAATAGATAAAGCTATGGGTAGTTTATTTATTTAAATAAATAAACATAAAAGTCAGTAGTATGTCAGTTCAAAAGGTGTAGTGAGGATTACCTTATTTGGAATTCCATAGGACTTTTCCTGTTGTCTGTCCTACAGTTATACTGGTAGCTTCTGTTGGCATTTAGAGTAGTAATTCTTGCCATATGATCTTATATTTTCCCTTATACGTAAATTTTACTTAGAATAGAAAGTACATAGTGCTTATCTGTGGTTTCGCTTACTGGTTGGTGCTCAGCTATGTCCAAATATGGAAATTCTTACCACCCGCAGGTCACCGTGGCCCAAGGTCCAAAACACTTCATCTCATCACATGGGTACTGGATCAACTTACAGTGTCCCAAGAACAGTACAGTACATTAGGGTATTTTGATAGAGAAGAAAGGAAAAAAAAACAAAAACAAAACCATAGCCATAACTTCTATTGTAAATCATGGCTTTACTTGTTCTGTTTTATTTTATTTTAGTCATTTTTGTTAACTCATTAGTGTGCCTGTAAGTTAAACTTAATAATGGATGCTTACATATAGAAATAGCATGGTCTGTGGGGTTAGTTGTCTGCAGCGTCAGGCATCGGCTGGCTGGGCTGTCTCCCCAGTTAATTGAGAAAACAAACGGGGTCCTGGGGTCCTGGCTGTTTCATACCTGGAAATCTATCACAGTTTTCCTAGGAAGAAGCCTGTCTACTACCTTACATAGCAGCGTGGAATGTCAAGCACACTATTCCTTTTTTATTAGAATGCCACTTCCGTCACCTCCTTTGCCCTCTTCGTCACCCATGTTCTATCTCACTTATAGCCGTCATCCTTTCTATTCTTCATTCCGGAGCCTCACAAATTTGAATCAGAACTGAGGGAGAATGACTTCGGGGAATTCTCTGTCCCCCACCCCCTCACGGGAACTCCACTTCCGGTGTTATGGAAGATGTGTATGAGTGTTTCTTAGGTCCTCCTTTTCTGATACAGTGGTTGATGGCAACACTGATGCTGGAGGTGGAGGAGGAAGCCTGAGGCTCTTTCAGTGCTACAAATGTGCCACCTGGGGGAGGACCCCAGGCCTCTGTGGCATCTGGATGGGAGACACCCACTTCCACTTCCAGGCTGCAGGCTGTCTGAGGTTCCAGACTCCTCCATTTCATCCAGCGGAGGAAACTCTCTGGGCCTTTTGTTGCTCTGCTGTTAGAGGAAGGGATTCAGAGCTGCTTGTGTACTGAGGGCCACGGATACAATAGTTACTGGCATTATGTTCCTACCTGTGATGAAGATGCCTCAGGGGAAATATAATCCTGATAAGACAAAAAACAAAAATAAACAAACAAACAAAAAAGATAAAAAAAAAAAAAGATTGTCTTCCACTTTGTGGTTGCACTTTTTATTGCCTTTTTCTGTCGGGGTCTTGCTGTGCCTTCCACTCAGGGGCACACAACTTCCATTGGACACTAGGATGGCCACTTGCTAGGTTTCTGGAGAGAACTGTCTGTGGTTGTTGTTTTCTTTTTGTTGGTTTGTTTTTTAACATACTGAAGTAATGAGAAAACATAATCAGGGAGCTGAGCACTGTGGCACACACCTGTGATCTCAGCTCTCAGAAGTGGAGGTGGGAGCATTGTCACAAGTTCCAGGACAGCCTGGTGTCAAAATAACAAAAACTAATAAATAAAAGCAGCAGAGAAGGTTAAAATACCTTTCTTGGTTCCTCTCCCAGATCATTCACTGCAAGATGTATTGACCACTTAGAGCAAATGTGTACCCAGTTATGCTGTGAAGTCTAAACTCTGTTTGTACATTTGTCCAATTGGTGTTGGTTGAAGCAGAGAATACAGGGTTAATTTTTTTTCTTTCTTTCTTTTTTTTTTTTTTTTTTTTTTTTTTTTTTT